ATTCCATTGCCAGCAAACATGGCCCCTTACACGGGTGTACACTGTAATACATCCTAGTGAACAAGGCCTTGAAGATGGACTTCACCCTTATCAAAATAAATAAATAAAGGCACCTTTAGAAATGTTTAGTAATTGAAATCTGAACACAGATACTTGTAGGTAACTAGGTTTTTTGTTCTTTGCATACTTTATTTTTCTTTACCTCCCCATTCCTCTATCGGTGGTCATTTTCACTAATGGCAGATGAATCCTTTACTTCCTGGAACTCTTCATCTGCCTTCTGGCACAGGCATTTACTAGGATGTAGTAGTGGGGGCCTGGGTACATCACCAGTACCTCACTACACAAGGAAGAGAAAAAATCATTAGCTGTAAGTAAAAACAAAACATGTTTAACTAATGAACGTAGAGCTGCATGCTGCAGAGATTAGTGAAGGGTGAGAAAGGTCCACTTTAAAATAGAATTCTAACTAATCTTAAAATCCTCCGTCCCCTTCCTAGCACCTATGTTTACTAACTTGTGTAAGAACGATGCATATACTTACCTATTTTCATGCCGCTCCAGCTATCCTGTGTCACCCAACAGCGGCTGCAGGGGAGGGAGTGCTGGCCACAGATGGGCGATTGAAGCCAATGGGTGATGTCACCACTCCAGGCTTTACCATCAGAAAGCGCTATCCTCTTTTCTGTAGCCTACCACTGGCTGACACAATGGAGATCACATGACTGGACCAGAGTGGCCTGAAAATAGGTTAATTTTATGCATTTTTGCTACACAGGTCGTTTAGCATAGGTATTAGGAGAAGGGAGTATTTTTAAGATCAGCTGGGGATATCCCACAATCTTATTTTAAGCCCTTTGTTCTCCTTTACTTGTTCCTTAGGGTTCCAGTTCCCTCTTGCTTACTGCTCATTGCACTAGTTCCACTAGTTTTATCTTCAAGACACATATCTTTTTTGGCAATTTCAGAATGGCTCACATGTTCCCGGTCATGAATCCTGATTTTGAAAATCTCTTGACCTACTGGTGGTATACTATCTCCCTCACTTGTTTCTTATCATCTCCATTCCTCCACACCTACCTCTAAGGGTTTCCTTACCTCTTGTGGCACCTAATCCTTCATGCTGACACTAGTTCCTGATGTAGTTGCTCTTTGGGACATAATACTCTTCTTTGGAGGGTTCTCTAGTCACATATCAACCTTTTTTTTTTTTTCTTTGCATACCTTCACAGAATTTGTTTTGTAACCTAATAATTTGCTTCTCTTAACTAAAGTAGTGTTAATTTTCCTGGGGTTTTATGTTGTAAACCTGTCGGTATCTAGATTTTCCCTTACTGATAAACAGTAATGTGATGGCTCCAAGCTGTGAATCTCTAAGATAGTAGCTATGTTTAATACATGTAAATCTGTAATGCTACCAAATATATCTTTAACCAATTTATCTCAATTCTTATTTTTTGTGCTAAAGAACGAGGCAGTGTTGGCTCAGTGTAATTCACAGTGGTTTGATCAAGGCCTACCCTTGGGGCTTTTTAGCTGTGCAGGGGAAGAGATTGAGATGCAGAATTGTATATATTGTACAGTCTGTCATGTTTTCATTGTCTCTCGTTTAGCATAAGGTTCGTGGGTACCCTCCAGGAGCTGCATCGTTGCTAATGGCTCCTGTGCCCCAGGGAGTGAGGCGAGGATTCATTTTCCTGAAATATAACTTTAATTTGTTAGGAAGAGAAGAAAAATCTGCTTTATAATCCAATCTAGATGGCATACAAATTGAGTTAAACAATTAGCCTTTCAGATTAGGAAGTGCTTGATCTTTTGTCAGTGTCATCTTAATGACTTGTATAACACCTTTTCCCCCCACCTACCTTTTTATATTGCTTTATTTGAAGTTTTGCCTTACGTTTATATAGGCTTTTTGGCACACTTTCACTTCTTGCATTAAGTTGAGATATAAATGTTAAAAATGGTCAACAACCAAAATTAAAAATGTAGCACTGAAACACATTCAGGGAACACCGCCTGTTCAGGACTTTTGTTTTACACTTTGCTAGGCTGCAGCACAACAGCCCTAAGCCCAGATCCTCCAATGCCAAACATTTACCTTTCCCTGGTAATTTTTTCTTTTTTTGGCCTGTGCTTGCTTGTAAATTACATTACATGTAGTATAGTATATGCTCACATCTGGGCCAGAAAGTATGAACTGGGTGATGCTGGTCAGTATGCAACCTAAAAGTAAAAGGATGGACCTCAATTCAGTGGATATTTGAGAGGCAAACAGTGACAAAAGTGCTTTTGAAGTTGGATAGGAACCTGAAGATTCTGGGTAGTATCCTGTTAATAAAATTGGTTGTACGGGAGTTGGGCTTTATAGGTAACTTATTACTGGTGAAACAATGCAGGCTAAAGCACAGCGACAAACAACCACACCAAATTTAAAATCCTTGTAACCACATTCAGTTAAACTCGATGATAAAGGATAGGTTCACCTTTTAACAAAAAAATATTAAACGCACATTTTTAAAAAATAATGTGCATTTATTATTTGTTGCTTCTAGAGCTTTTAAAGCATTGCACAAGTGATCAGCAGATCGCTGGTGCCATGCAGGTCTCCATCAGACCTGTTAGTGTATCTGCTTGCTTGTACATGCTGTACAGGTAGGCAGATACTTACTGATGGGAAGGTTCAATGAACTACCACAGCACTCCACAGCTCATTTGTAGTTCATTGACAACTACAAGCTGACAGCCGCAAAGGCTGTCAGAACTTGTAGTGTTCTCATTCACAGAACTTTGTGAATGAGTTACATGGTCGGGCAGGGGGAGCATCGCATGGCCACATTTTTTTATAATTGTGACAGCTAGCGGGGAGGGGAAGATCCCCCGTTAGCTGTCAAAACAGGGATCAGAGGGGTGCATGGGGCTGGTTCCGTTCATAACATATTACACCCTGAATATGGGTGCAACATGTTACAAAAGGTGAACTTATCCTTTAACAGAAATGCCTTAAAGCAGACCTTTCCTCTCTTTCACTAAAAATCACATAAGCGTATAGCATTACATACTGATATGAAAGTATCTTTTATTAAAATTTTTTTGCTTTTACTTACTATTTTTCCACTTCCTGGTTGAGTGAGGCACTTTTCATGTAACCCTGGCCTCACAGCTTCATCCTGGAAAGCTGTCACATTCCAGAAGGTAAACCCAGAGTTTTAGGCAGAGTTCCAGGAAGTAAAGTGAGAGGGATTAATCTGCCTGTAGAGGAAATGGCCACCATGAAAAGACAGGAGAGGAAATGAAAAATAAACGATAGAAAGAATAAAAAGGCTGCAATTATCTGAAAGTATCTGTTGATTGCCATTGATAAACATTTTTAAAGGAGCCTTTGTTTTATTTTTGTATAAGGGTGAAGTTCCCATTTAATTCTGATATAACTCATAGCAATACCTTGTGTATCTCAAGCAATTGTGAGGAATATCCCAATTAGACTTCTGCTATGCAAATAAACTAGATATTTTGTTTTATCACTTGATCTTCACTTGGTGTCAGTATTTATTGGAAATATGTAGGTTGTAATTGCATTCTTTCTTCTGGATTTTTTGTGCCTGTCATCTTGGCCCTTAGGCTTCAGAATAGACCATAAGTATTCAATTACTCTGAAAGTAAAATGATTGTAGCCACAAAATCACCATGACACCAGGCAACTATAATTTTCAGGAGTAGGACATCAATAGCAGCCTCTCTTTCCTTTAAATACTTTTTTTCCAGTATATTTTAGCCTCTATTTGGTGTTCTGGGGTCACCATCTGTAGAGCTATGAGAATCTCATTTGAAGTAGATCTAAACTCTGATTGGATGGCATTTAGTTTGCTAAAGCTCTGTGTGACAATTGGCATTTTTGTTTTCTCATAAATTGCCATTTTTGGTTCCTTTGTTGCACCTCGCTGCTATTGATTTCTTTCAGCCTCTTTTAACCACTTCCTGTTTACATGCACTCCCCCTAACTTTAGCTGCACTTCACTGGAGCAGCTTTCTGATAATGACAATTATGGACCATTGCTGCACAGTGTGTGTCTGCACCGTTGCTTGAAGTCTCCACCAGGGGAACATGTGACAACACAACTGCACAATTAAGTGGCAGTTGTCACCATATAACAGGATGTGCCTGAGCAAGGATCTCCATGGTAGGATCACCAGTTATTACTAATGAGCATTGCAGATTTATAAAGACTGAAAGCAACTTTTTATATCACATTAAATATAATGTTTACATTTGCATTTATTATTTATTTCTGGTACTTATATAGCGCCATCAATTTACGTAGCGCTTTACATATATATTATACATTCACATCAGTCCCTAACCCTCAAGGGGTGTACAATCTAAGGTCCCTAACTCACATTCATATACATACTAGGGCCAATTTGGACAGGAACCAATTCACCTACCAGCATGTCTTTTGGTGTGTAGGAGGAAACTGGAGTACCTGGAGGAAACCCACGCAGACACAGGGAGAACATGCAAACTCCAGGCAGGTGGTGGTGTGGCTGGGATTCAAACCAACAACCCTAGTACTGCCAGGCGGAAGTGCTAACCATTTAGCCTCTGTGCTGCCCAGTTTACATCTACTGCACTTTAGCCTTACTGGCTGCAAAGGGAAACGTAGTTTTGAAAATACACACAATGTATTGTTATTGTTTCACTAATTACATTCTATTAACCACTTGCCTACAGGGCACTTATACCCCCTTCCTGCTCAGGCCAATTTCCAGATTTCAGCGCTGTCGCTTTAAATGAAAATTGCGTGCTCATGCAACATTGTACCCATATGAAATTTTTATCATTTTGTTTGTGACAGATAGTGCTTTATTTTGGTGGTATTTAATTACCTCTGGGATTTTTATTTTTTCTTAAACCAAAAACCACTGAAAAGTTTGGAAAAAAAAACAAATTTTTTCTTAGTTTTTGTTATACAATTTTGTATATGTGATTTTTCTCCTTAACTGATGTGCGCTAATGAGGCTGCAGTGATGGGCACTGATAGGCTGCACTGATGGACACTGATAGGTGGCACTGATGAGGAGGCACTGGTAGGTTGCACTGATGGGCATTGACTGGCATCACCGATGGGCACTGAAAGGCAGCACTGATACATGATACTGATATATGGCACTGTTAGGCGGCACTGACTGGCACTGTTAGGCGGCACTGACTGGCACTGGTAGGTGGCACTGATTGGCAGCACTGATAGGCATTGATAGGTGGCACTGACTGGCACTGATGGGTGACATTGAAGGGCAGCTCAGATGGGCACTGATATGTGGCATTGATGTGCACTGGAATGCACTGATATGTGGCACTGATGGACACTGACAGGTGGCACTTCTGGGGCTACACTGATCATCAGGGCACACTAATCATCTGTGCCCTGATGATCAGTGTACATGTCCCCTCCGCGGAAAGCCGATTACCGGCTTTTCCGGGTTTACATGTGATCAGCTGTGATTGGACATAGCTGATCACATGACCCAGCCGACATCTTCAGCTCTTTCCGTGATCCGCTGTGTCCGAGGGACACAGCACACCGGAGATCGCCGCACTGCGCGCTCCCTGAGCCGCGCATGCGCGGTGAGAATGGAAGGAGTTCACATGACGTCGTATCAGAACGAGAGAACCACCTTGCGCCCGTCATTGTTCTAATTGGCGGGCGGAAGGTGGTTAAAGGTAGAAAGTATTGTAGCCTAAAGGATATTTAGGCCTCATTCACACTGGCACTGTCAAACCTGCATTTATATGCATTTGGAGAAAATGTCATAATGCATATAAATACATGTAAAGCTTTTTCAGTGGTGTCATTCACACTGTGAATTTACTTGTGTTTTAAAGAGAATACAATTCTGTGCGTCCAGGAACTGATTAGACACTGTAAATGCAGATAAACGCATGTAAACATGTAAATGCAGCTAGACTGATTTAAGTCGGAACATCTTAATGCAGAAAAAAGTGATCTGGGAGGCATAAAAGCTGTTTATATTTCCCAGGTAACCTCTCCTGCATTTAGAAAAGCTAAACAGTTGAGTGCCAGTATGAATGAGACCAGTAACACTTAAAATGTTTATGTATGCATTTAGATCCACAGTGAGTGCTTAGGTGCGGTCAGTTTAGCTGCGTTCCCAGTAAATAGAATTCTGTGTGTCCAGTATCCGATTTAGACGCTAAATGCATGTAAGTTCCACTAAACCCATCTAGATTCCCCTAAATGTAGCTAAGCCTGCTTTGAAGCAGGGACATCTAAATGCAGGAAAAGGTGATCTAAGAACATGACAGCTATTTATACTTCCCTGGTTACTTCTCTGGCATTTATCAAAGCTAAACACAGGGGTGCTAGGCCTAAGGCCTCATTCACACTGCCAATGTCAGAATTGCATTTATATGCATTTATAGGGCATTTCAAAATGCATGTAAATGAATATAATTATTTTACAAGGGTGTCCTTCACAATGTGCATTTACCTTTAGGTATGGTCAGTTTAGCTGCATTTAGAGAAAATAGAATTCTGTGTGTCCAGAATCTGATTAGAAACTAAACACAGTTAAATGCATGTAAACACAACTAAACCTGCTTTAAGACCTCATGGGCGCTGAAGCCTGTACAACATAATTTAGCTGTTTGGTTTTATGCGCCTGGTACCAGCTGGAGCTGTGTCCAGGCAGCTTATGTTGCTGGATGAAAAAGCAGTGGCTGTATGGACACATTCATGTCCTAATTTAACAGGCATGCGGGGGCAGGTGCACAACCCTGATCACAGATGTGCGTTCTGGGCTGCACACCCTCTCCTGCACACCTTCCAATTTAGGACATGTGGCTGTGCTTTACAACTGCTGTGTCCCTATTCAGGAACATTGGCTGCCCTGCCTGCACAGTGCTCCAGGCATCTCTTTACGCATAAATAAAAGGCATACACCCTTGTAAAATAATTATATTCATTTACATGCATTTTGAAATGCCCTCTAAATTAATATAAATGCAATTCTGACATAGGCAGTGTGAATGAGGCCTTAGGCCTCTGCAATCCTATGGGCCTCTGCTATCCTGTGAATGAGGCTTAAAGTGTTACTAAACCCACAACAGTAAAATCAGTCTGTATGTGCAGTAAAGCATGCTTGTTATACTCACAGTGGAACCTAAGGGGTTAATCCTCTGTATTTTGTAAAAACGATCTTTGATCCTGTCTTCTCTGATCCTCCCCTTCTACTGTCCCCAATCCATCTTCTGATAGTACAGAACTCTAGGAGTCACTCTACACATGCTCAGTTTGGTGTGCAATGCTAGAGAGTTTTGTTTTTTCTTTGGGAGAGTGCAGGTTATCAGCACAGGGCCAATCAGCACTGCCAAGACAGAGGGTCAGGGGTTTGCAGCCTCATAGGACAGTCAGAACAGAATGAAAACACCTACAAGATTAACCAGTGCTTGGCCAGACACTGATAGAAGTCACAAGACTGCTATATACTCAAAAGTACTCAAAATATACTGCTGATGAGAAAAGGTATTTAGCAGTTTATATTTACTATAATAATTGTATTTCTAGGTTCTGTGTACTGTGAGAGACCAGATATAGTGAATGCAGGGTCCTGGGTTTAGTACCACTTTAAGGCTGCTGCATCATCTAAACACAGGAACAAGTGATCTGGGGAACATAGCATTTGTTTATAGAAAAGCTAAACACAGGCATGCAAGTGTAAATAATGCCTAATTATTTTCTTGGTTACACCATTAAGACTCCGTTCAGATATAGATGTTTTGAATCGCAGGTGGATTTGCTGTCATTTTGCCTGCGATTTCCAAACGTGCTGTTAAAATGTGAAATTGCTCATCAGAATGTTCAGGTGCCATTCATTCCAATGGCACCTAAAAACGTTGTGTGTTTTTACCACGATTGCTGCACGATTTTTCACACTGTGACTGCGCAAACAATATCATGCAATGCGTGTCGCCTAAATAAGCTCCAGAACTTGTTTTTGGACAACACGCATCATGCAATTTTGTCTGTAAATGAATGGCACCTGAGCATGCTGATGAGCGATTTTACATTTTATCAGAATGTTTTGAAATCGGAGCAGAACCACAGTGATTCTGACTGCGATTCAAAACGCCTATATGTGATCAGTGTCTTAGGGCCCTTTCACACAGACCTCATATGTTCAGTCATGTTTTTTCCAAACAAAAAAATTGATTCAGTTTACTTCACTATCTAATCCGTTTTTAAATCTGTTTTTTTACAGGAGAATGTAAACAACAGAGGGGCAATGTGTACAGAGATGGTGGAGTGTGTACAACAAGAGAGGGGCAGTGTGTACAGAGATGGGGAAGTGTGTACAACAAGAGAGGGGCAGTGTTTACAGAGATGAGGGAGTGTGTACAACAAGAGAGTGGCAGTGTTTACAAAGATGGGGGAGTGTGTACAAGAGAGGGGCAGTGTTTACAGAGATGAGGGAGTGTGTACAACAAGAGAGTGGCAGTGTGTACAAAGATGGGGGAGTGTGTACAAGAGAGGGGCAGTGTTTACAGAGATGGGGGAGTGTGTACAACAAGAGAGGGGCAGTGTTTACAGAGATGGTGGAGTGTGTACAACAAGAGAGGGGCAGTGTGTACAGAGATGGGTGAGTGTGTACAACAAGAGAGGGGCAGTGTTTACAGAGATGGTGGAGTGGGTACAACAAGAGAGGGGCAGTGTTTACAGAGATGGTGGAGTGGGTACAACAAGAGAGGGGCAGTGTTTACAGAGATGGTGGAGTGTGTACAACAAGAGAGGGGCAGTGTTTACAGAGATGGTGGAGTGTGTACAACAAGAGAGGGGCAGTGTTTACAAGATGGTGGAGTGTGTACAAGAGAGGGGCAGTGTGTACAGAGATGGGTGCAGTGTGTACAACAAGAGAGGGGCAGTGTTTACAGAGATGGTGGAGTGTGTACAACAAGAGAGGGGCAGTGTGTACAGAGATGGGGGAGTGTGTACAACAAGAGAGGGGCAGTGTTTACAGAGATGATGGAGTGTGTACAACAAGAGAGGGGTAGTGTTTACAGAGATGGGGGAGTGTGTACAACAAGAGAGGGGCAGTGTTTACAGAGATGGTGGAGTATGTACACAGAGACTCTGTCACTTGCTAGCTGCAAATTTCATTGGTGGCTCTCCCCATCACTAAAGTAATAAAGGGGCAGGGTCATCGTCTAACATCACCTGTTGACCCCATCCCTTTGTCTATCTTAGCGCTGGGAGAAGTGGAGCTGTCATTTAGCCCCCCTGCTAAAGTAAATAAAGGGGTGGGGTCACCAAGTGGCCCCATCCGTTTGTCTGCCTTAGCAGTGGGGCCAAATTACAGATTCACTTCTCCCCACACTAATTTGGAGCCAGCAAGTGACAGAGCCTCTGTGTACACACTCCCCACACTTTGTAAACACTGTCCCCCTCTGTTGTTTACATTCTGCTGACAGCGGGGATTTCCCTTCTGACAGCAGAGATGAGTCACTGCTTGTTAGGACGGTGGCGGGTGCTGGCTCCTAAAAGCCAGTGCAAAAATGGAGCATTTGTCCGTTTTACATCTGTTTAGGTCCACTTCCATTTTTATTTTTTACAGAACAAAAATAGAGCTATGATCCGTTTACAAACAAATGATCATCCGCTTACATCTGCATCTTTTTTTAAACAGGAACATCTGTCACCGAAGACCATAGGTTAACCTGCCTTTGAATGATATGATACTATATTTTTTCTAATATCAGCAGGATGTAATTTGTTTTTTGATTTGTAACATTGATTCCTCTTGCTTTTTTATAATAAATTGCTGAATATTATGGTATCATTGAATCAATGTTCAGGCAGGTTTATTGTGTCACTGGTGAATACAACAAATGTTCCTTTAACTTACCTACAGAGTGAAAACATTGAGAGAATTCGCTTTAAGGGGGTCATGTATCTAATCTTCTTTTTTTTTTTCTATGTAAGTCAAATAGAGTTATTTACATTGCTGGAAACAAATTGTTCCACTCTTGTGCTGTACTCACAATGCATTCGCACTGTTAGCTAAAATGACTGACTCTCGCTTCATACACACATAACTGTCAAGCAAATGAAGTGCTCTTGCAGGCTAAATTGGCAAAAAATGTCTAATTTAGACGTGTTCCTGATTTTTGTTTGCTGCCATTTTTATCGGCATCATGCAGGCATATGTACCATTTGCTCAAATTATATTTTGTTACACTCTTAAAACTTTGCCGCAGTATTTGTCACTGATATAAGTTGACATGTTAGGCTCTTATGATGAAACCTGCCTTTAAATCAGATGTATTAAGCTGAGTGCAGAATAGCAAGTTTTGTTTTCTTCTTTGTGGTCCCTGAATTATGCTTTAAAAATTGCCCATACAAAATTCAGTATTCAGTCAAGGAAGGCC